ACAGAAGGCCAATCCCTCTTGCGCGGGCTCTAGCTGGACGCCCAGCCTACGACGAGAGGACAGCGGATGCAGCTCCTGGGAACGGCACAGAATGACAAGAGGCCGGCCTGTATTGTTAACTACGGCGAGGCGCCTTCCACCAAAGGTCTGCGCACCGCTGAGGTGCGTTACGCTCAGCGCGCCATCCACCCCAGGCGGTGCGCTACCTACGGCCCCACGGGCGCGGCATCCACCACAGGTACCGCGCCCCCATCCGCCGCGGCTCCTGCCCGGCGCTTGACCAACCTGCCCGTGCACTTGTTAGGTACTTTTCATGTGGCGCGCTGCCCACCCCAGGTGGCGCGCCGCTTTTCAATTCTCCAGCGCGCCACGCACCCGAGGCAGCGCGCCCCGTCCCGCCCTTGGCGCGTTATCTACCCTTGGTGGTGCGCTGCCCTTTTCCTCCCGCCTCTTTGCGCACCAGATGGGCGCGTCCCTCGTAGCGCGCCACCCACCCCGGGTGGTGCGCTACCTACGGCCCCACAGGCGCGGCATCCACCCCAGGTGCCGCGCCTCCGTCCGCTGCGGCTCCAGCCCAGCTCTTGACCAACCTGCCTATGCACTGGCTATGTGCTTCTCACCTGGCGCGCCGCCCACCCCAAACGGCGCGCCCCGTCTGCCCCTCGGAGGCGCCATCCGCCCCAGGTGGCGTGCCTGCCTCCTGCTGTGGCCCTCTGCCCGAGCGCTGCGGCCAGCCTGCCTGCGCACTGGTTAGGCGTTCCTGGTGCCTTGAGAGGTGCGCGCCATCCACCCCAGGTGGTGCGCCCCTTGCTCCTCCGCGGACGCGCTCGCTTCAGGCGTCGTGCTCCCTGGGGCCCCGTCCGCCCCGGCCCGCATGGTGCACGCGCCGCCACGCCGGCCGACTGGGCCCGGCAGGCTCGCCCCCCTTGCCTACAGGCTGCTGGCGCCTGCTCGGTGGCCATCTGCCACCCCCACTTCGGGGGCGCCGCTCCCGCGGTGCCCTCCCGCGTTTGCTTCCTGGCCGCCCGTCGCCGGGAGCCCCCGCCCAGCCTCCGCTTCGGCTAGGCGCCGCCCTGTCCTCGGCTTTCAATGCGCGCGCTTGCCCTGGGCTCGGCCTTGCTGCCTTCCGCCCCCCCCCCGTTCCGCCCACCCCCGGTCTTGCGCGTGGCTCCCACGCGCCGTTCCCGCGGTCGCCTGGGTCTCGTGGCTCCCTCCGGCCGACTGGCTACGCCCGGCCTCTTCGCACCTTTCTTCCTCGCGGCTCCCCGCCTGCCCTGCGCTGCGAACGCGCACCGCCTTCGCCACTGCTGCATCGCCTGCCCGTCGAGCCACCCTGGCCCCCGGTCTGCCACTGCAGCTGAACGGCGCCGCCTCCCCTGCTGCCGCACTGGCCCCCGCTCAGGTGACTGGGACTGCCGGTGTCCTCGCAGCGCCGGCCTCCCTCTCCCGACTTGCTGGGCTTGGCCCCGTACTGCAGCCGCTGAACCCAACCGTGGGCGCGCCCCGCTGCGGCTTCGCCGCGTGAGTGCGCATTCCCCCCCTGTCGCCCCTCCTCCGCGGCCGTCCCTCCTTTTGCCCCCACCTCTTGCATGCGGGTCAATTCGCAATGCCGGAGCCAGGGTTGCTTGCCGAAGCTGCAAAGCGCCCAGGAATTGACGGGTGTCGTGGCGCGTCTTCGAGGCAAGTCGTCGCCGTCGCTGCTCCGTTCCACCGCGCGACCAGGCATGGGGTTCGTGTGCCAGGACGCCGCCCTTGCGAGATTTCGTTCGGCACCGGCGCTAGTACATCAATCGTCGAAAAACGGCCGACAATCCAATTGGACCTGACACACCCCCGCGCAATCTTGCTGAATCGGGATTAAGCCTTGGCTCAATCCGGCCGGGTCAGGTTGAATGGCCCCGTAATCGGGTTCACTATTTTCTGGTTGTCTTTTACGAAAACATCCCAGGATTTGTTTTCTAACGTGTGCGGCTGCTCCAGACCACCAACGTCATCATTTTTTCACGAGGTCGACGCCCAGGAGGTCTCGACTCGTTCCCCTCAGTCGTTTTGTTGACGGTCCTGCGGCCCGGCGAAGACCCCACAGGCTGGAAATAGCAGGGAACCGTCCGTCGTGTTCTTCCACGACGCGAGAGGGTCCGGATCTGGGGCACGTGTGTTATGAGGGAGAAGCTGGAGGCTTCGCGCGGCGCGCAATAGTTGTATTATCTAGTCCATACGTCCGCCCCATCAGATATGGGATGACGCTCGCGCGGGGATTTCCCGACGTGAGTCCGGCGCAAATCCGACGTGGACCCTTCGTGGATCCGACGCAAAGCAGCCTCGCGAGGCCTCCAGGATTTTCCTCAAAACGTTGGGGGGATAGGCTCAGGGGGGGCGCATCGAACCCCCCCATCGGCCGTTCAGCGCCCCCGGAAGCATGCAGCATCGCGATCAGGGGCCTGTCGCCGATCTGCACGCGATGCGTGGCCGCTTTCGGCGCGAGGTTTCGCACCCCGAGCCAGTCCCTTCCTACCGTTGCCCGTCGCCTCTGCCGAGAGTCTTTGAAGGTTGCTTGGAATGTGCGCCTAACTTAGTTTGCGCGAGCAGGCCAGTGAGATCCATCGAGACACGCTCCGGGCGCGTCGGCCGCCCAGCCGGCCTGGAAGCCTCCGTTCGCCAAGTGTTCGAAGAGAAGTGCGAGCGCGAGGTTGCCGAGGGCCACTCACCACCCACCAAACCACCCCAACCCAACCCGAAGGCCCAAATTTATCCTCGATTTCCAGTGGGGGGGGGTCGGGGAACGTTGAAAAAACACATGGTATCCGTACCCCCCCCAACCCGAAATTCGGGTCAAATTCGGGTCTTCGGGTTGGGTTGGGGTGGTCTGGTAGGTAGTCAGCCACGCTCGCTGATTTTCGCGCGCAGCGCCCCGTCGGCCACAGGCGATCGCCGCCTCGGCCCCGAGGCCGCCTGCTACTGATGCTGCGCCCCCGCCGTTCTGCGAGGATGCTCCTCTCACAGCGTGGGCGGCCGCACCCCGCCCGGAGGCCGAGGAGGAGGAGGAGGGGGAGGAGGAGGAGGAGGAGGAGGAGGAGGAGGAGGAGGAGGAGGAGGAGGAGGAGGAGGAGGAGGGGAGGAGGAGGGTGAGAGGAGGGGAGGAAGGAGAAGGAGGAGGAAGGGGAGGAGGAGGGTGAGAGGAGGGGAGAAGGAGAGGAACAGGAGGGCCAGGAGGAGGGGCAGGGGGAAAAGTAGTAAGCAGAAAAAAAAACGAAGAGGCGGAGGAAGAGGAGGTGATGAGGTGGTGGTGATGGTGGGCAGGCCAATGGCGAAGTCTTGTAACAACACAATGCCGCCCCCTGAACACGAACAAGGAGTAGCCGATCCAAACGACGTAGAACAAGCAAATGTTAGGAGCCCAAGGAAATCCATCCAAGAAATCCAAGCTGTACGCGCACCGTGACATGAGCCAAAGCCGCCAATGCCAGGGATGGATACCTCATCGCACACACAGAATAACAGAAGGCTAGGCAGAGAGGAAGTCAACTCCGTACGGCCCACTATCACGATGAAAACACCGTTGATCATCGGGCAGCGTTCTATTCCGCATGACCAGACCAGCATCGTACGGTTCCAACCTGAGAGTGCCTCCTTAACGAATAGTCTCGCCAATTTCCAAGTAACTTAACGTGGGTTTTACCAGCCTGAACATACTGTGACACTATATGAACGAAAAAGAAGTTTGCCAGTTTTGGCCCAAGCATGCTTTTCAGCCGATGTCCGTTCTTTTCCCACGGGCTGATCAAAGTATTGTAGCTGATGGCGGTCGGCGCAAACGTCGCCTCCCACCGAGCCTCGCAATAACTGCCATTTCCTGCTTGCCCCAAGTGTGTTGATCCAGGCGCTGTAGCTGACGGCGGTCGGCGCAGGCTTCGCCTCCCACTCCAAATCCCGTACCGAAAGAAATGATTGCTGCTGCTTGACCTTCTCGCACGCGTTGGCCCACGTCATTAGAGCCCAGGACGAGCGGACCAGACGTCGCCTCCCTCATCATGCGCCTCGATGTCGAGGCAAGTTGCCACTGTCACTGTCCGCCGCTCTCGCACGCGAAGACCCACACATTGCAGCACAGATGACGGGGCCTCGCCTTCATTAATGTCCCCGCGCCGCGGCGGCCACAGCCCTCAACACCACTGCCCAGACCTGGATGCATTGGTTTTTCGATTGAACAAAATGTTTTTTTGAATTCAAGAATTCAGCGTTGCTCTCAAAAACCAGTAAACCAGTTTTGCTTGTTGAATTCCAAAAAACCAGCCCATGGCGACACTGAGCCTGAGACCACGCCCGTGGACTGCGCAGGATGCCACAACGCAGCAGCCACTGCCGACGCCCACTGCCAGGCCTCTCGTTCGCTGGCCCCTTGCAGCACTGCAGCGGGTAACACGCCGACGGGCCGCGCAACGAGCATTGGCACGTGCACGAAGGACACACGCGTCGCAGGAGCTCCCACACGCCATACAGGCTGTGCCCAAGAATTGCAGGAAGACCTCGAGGACACGCATCCGAATGGACACCACCGTCATGACGACGAGCACCGCAGCGGATGGGCGAAGGGCACGAGCACGACCAGGAAGGTGAAGCGGAACACGTCCAGGGAGAGGACGTGTTCCGGCGGAGCGGCCAACTGCATCATGGCGCGATGGCGGAAGGGCTCCAGGACCTGCTGGAGGCCCAGGAACTGCAGGAAGCCCAGCCAGTCATCACGAGCCAGAGGCCACCACCCATACGAGGCGTCACACTTCGACGCCAAGCAGGGCTGCACTCAAGCGCCCCGCGACGGCGTGGGTCGTGATGTCGAAATTGCCCAGAGACCAAATGGGTACGGAGAGCCTCGAGCCACGCGTGCTGGAGGGAGCACGGCGCTTGAAGCCCGCCCAACGTCAAAAGGGCAGGGCAGCAGGGGAGGCCACGGGAGGGACGCGAGGGACGCGAGGCCACGCATGCGGCCGCCCACCGCCCAGAGGTCGACGAGTGCCGCCAGCTCGCCGTGCAGGCAAGCGCCGCGCTCGGCGCCCTCCGCGACCTGCCGCGTTCCGAGCAGGGCGGCGCCGCGGCTGGCGTCCTCGGGCTCCTGAGGCGGGCCGGCGGCGCCCTGCAACGCCGCCCCCTGCTATTGGTTGCTCCCTGCTGCCCTGCGCCCCCATTCCACCTCCTCCCCCTCCCCCTCCCCCTCCTCCCCTCCTCCTCCTCCTCCTCCTCCTCCTACTACTACTACTACTACTACTACTACTACTATACTTACTACTACTACTACTACTACTACCTACTACTCCTTTTCCTGCTTCTCCTCTTCCTCATCATCCCTCCTCCTCCTCTTCTTCTCCTTCCTCCTCCCTCCTCCTCCTCCTCCTCCTCCTCCTCCTCCTCCTTCTCCTGCTCCTCCCTTTCCTCCTCCTCCTTCTCCCTCCTCCTCCTCCTCCTCCTCCTCCTCTTCCTCCTCCATTTCTTCCTGTCTCCGTGGAAGCGGACGCCAGGCCCAGTTCTTTCGCTGACAACCACGCCTGGGAGTGGAAGCGCAGCAGCCGGGTTTGCAGCCTTTGTTTGGATGTCTCCCGCAGCTCGGCGCAACCTTTCCCCTCGGTCACCCCATGCAAGGGGCACATTCTGTCTATCTCTCTCTCTCACTCTCTCTCTCTCTCTCTCTCCTTCTCGCTTCCTCCATTCTTCCCTCCTTCTCCTGCTGCCCTGTTTCCCCCTGTCTCTCTACAGGGCCCCTTCCCCCATGCCGGTTGCCTACATCGCCCGTTGTTGTTGCATGTAATTGTTTTTCTCTTGCTACCCTGGTGCCCGCCTATTTCTTTGTTTATCTCTCTATCTCTGTCTCTGTGTTGTGTGTTCTCTCTCTCTCTCTCTATCTGTCTCTCTCCCCCCTTCTCTCTTCCATTAGATTATCCACCTGCCCCTGTTACCCCGCTGCCTGCCTCACCCGCCCCCGTCACACTGACGTGTCCTCACCATCTCCGTGACATGTGCTCTCTCCTGTCGCAGCAAATTGTGTCGCTGCGCGTATGCCGCGCGTCTCTCGCCTTCGCTAACCTCCTCCGAGCTTCCGCCTTCGACGTGTAATCGATGCGAGTACGAATCTTCCCTCCGCCCTCTCATCGCCACATGTTCCACCACCGCACCCCTGCCCGCTACCTGATGTCCCGAAAGTCTTTCCCATCATTCCAGCTGCTCGCTGAAGACTCCATCCGCGCTGAAGCGGTCACCGCGCGCCCACAAAGGGTCTCCCCACTTTCGCGCAGATGTCTCTCGACTGGTGGCCGCTATTTCTCCCCACCCCACCTCAATCGGGGGCAGCAGTCATCACGGAGGAGCGGCGATCAACATTGTTATCTTCACGTACAGGGACAAGCCACACTTAAGGTTGTGCGTTCCGACTCCCAGTCTTCCTCTTCCCCCCCCTCCTGCTCCTCCTCCTCCTCCTCCTCATCCTCCTCCTTTCTTGTTCAGATGTTTCCTCCTCCTGCTTCTCTTCATCCTGCTCCTCCTCGTCTTCCTCCTCCTCCTCCTCTCCCGCCGTTGTGTCCTCCTCCTCCTTCTCCTCCTCTTCCTCCTCCTCCTCCTTCTCTTCCTCCTCCTCATTCCCTTTTTCCTCCTCCCCCCTCACCATCCTCCCATATTCCTCCCCTAACTTATGCGTGCCCACCTCACGCTTGTCGTTTCTTTGTTTGCCTTGCTCTCCCGTCGGTCGCGTTTCGCCTCCCTGCTGCTGCTGTTGCTTCTCCGTCTGGTTCAGAAGATTTCGAATTTTTTGCAGTCAGGCATTGCACGCTGCCATGCTTGGACGCGTCGGCAATCGCAATTGTCGCTGTCGCCGTCACCCGAGTCGACGGCCCTGACGAGGGAGTGGCGACGGCAGTAGCGGTGCCGAAACGCGCCCAGAGTCCAGCAAGGCATCAGGGTGCAGACCCGACTTGTCTGGCTGATGTTATGGGGTGGGCCTGTGCCCAGGGGAGGCTGCAGCACCACTCAGCAATGCACTGTCAACAAATTATGCAGGGTGGGTCCTTTCCACGTCTCAGTGCCCGTAGACACGCTAACGGCGATGTAGGTATTGGCGATGTTGGTCTCGGCATCGTGGGAATGCATGGCTCGCGCGTTCCTGCAATTCGCTTGTTCGGTTTCGCTCGATGCATCTGCAGTTTGGAAGTCTACGGAAGAGCGTGGATCGTGCTTTCCTACAGGGCGGTTCCCAACATCACCGTTGAGCAACATCACCGTTGGCGTGTGCCTTGGGGTGCACTTCGGCTGGGGCTCCGGCCTCAGCTGCGGGGGTGCGCCGTGAAGCCCCGTCGGGCCTGCTCACGCGAGTCGGTCTTCCGCTCACACTGGGTGCCTCTCCCCGCCTCCTCCTCCTGCCACCCCCTCCTCCCCCATGCAGTGGGGCCCCATGGCAGGAAACACCCTGCTCGCCTCCAGGGTGCCCTGGGTTTCTTGGGTTCCGATGGCTCTGCGATGGAAAGCGTGACGCCCCCACACCAAGAAGCCATGGCGTCCTGGGGCCTCAGGGTCGGGTCTCTCGCGTATCGCTGCCAGGTTCTGCCCCCGGAGAGGCCCTCGCTGGCCCCCCGGGGCCATCAAAGGGCGACTCCGTCGGGAGCCTTGAGACGGGGCTCCTCCTCCTCCTCCTCCTCCTCCTCCTCCTCCTCCTCCTCCTCCTCCTCCTCCTCCTCCTCCCTCCCTCCCTCCCTCCCCCTCCCTCCCTCCCTCCCTCCCTCCCTCCCTCCCTCCCTCCTCCCTCCTCCCTCCCTCCCTCCCTCCCTCCCTCCTCCGTCCCCTCTTCACTCCTCCTCCTCCTCTTCCTCCTCCTCCTCCTCCTTCACCTCCTCCTCCTTTTCCTCCTCCTCCTCCCCTCCCTCCTCCTCCTCCTTCTCCTCCTCCTCCGGCGGGGCTCAAGAGACGGGGGTCAGCGCAAACGAGGGTCCGCCAGAGCGCCCGGTCTTGCAGGATCATGCAGGGCCAGGGTCGCATTGACCTGGGCTTGGGTGCAGGATCCTGCAGGATCTTGCAGGATCCTTCGCATTGACCCGGGCTTGGGTGCAGGATCTTGCAGAATTCTGCAAGGCCTGATTGACCCGGGTCTGGATTGACCCAGGTCAGAAGATCCCCGACCCAGGATGAGAAGCCGGTCCCGGGGAAGGGGTCGAGACCTCGGGGGGTCGACGTTGTGAAGGGATCTTGACGTCGGGGTCAGGGCCCTTGCGCCGTGGAGGAAGCGATGGTGAAGGTTCCCCCGAGGGCAAGTCACAGCGATCGTCGGGTCCCAGAACGGTTTTCTGGTTCCGGGATGTTTCTTCTCAGCCGTAGCACGTCGTTTTCGGCACCGGCTGATCCCGAGGCTTTGCCTCTCCTGGCCTTGCCGTGAGGCCGCGCTCCCTCTGTCCCCCCCTCTTTGTTGATTCAAGCTTCGCGCGGCCCGCTTAGCTTCGACCAGAAGAGGTGCGCTCTCGACCCGCGGATCAAAATTGTTTCTCAGCAGCCGCGCCTCGTCGAGGGCCTTTCTGGGGGGTCCGAGCCATTCAAACACACGGCAGGAGGTTGCTCCTCGCTCTCGGCGTTGCAGCGGCCCTCCCCCGGGGCCGTGGGGAAGCGACGCGGGAGGAGGAGCAAATCTCGGTGCGCCTCCGCGGGTGGGCCCACGCGGCGAGGAACTCACGGCCCTGAGATCCGACGCCACGAAAACCAAGTCGGGCATGGTCCTCTACAGGAGGAATCCTCAAGCATAGTCCAGAAATCGTCCGGGGACGACCTGTCGATTATTTTTTTACTACTTTTATGAACTTGTTGAGTATGTTCTAGCTTTCGCCCAAAATCCGTCTGTAGGGGGACATGCCCGACCTGACACGAGAAGCATACCACACATCGCCCCATCTGCCTGCTGCGCTTCTCGAGGCGCATCGGCCCGTGGTGAGCCACGGGCCCGTGGTGGGCCACGGGCCAGGAGGAGGAGGAGGAGGAGGAGGAGGAGGAGGAGGAGGGGGAGGAGGGAGGAGGAGGAGGGAGGAGGAGGAGGAGGAGGAGGAGGAGGAGGAGGAGGAGGAGGAGGAGGAGGAGGAGAAGGAGGAGGAGGAGGAGGAGGGGGAGGGAGGAGGAGGAGGAGGAGGAGGAGGAGGAGGAGGAGGAGGAGGAGGAGGAAGAGGAGGAGGAGGAGAAGGAGGAGGAGGGGGGGGAGGAGGAGGAGGAGGAGGAGGAGGAGGAGAAGGAGGAGGGCGGCCTGGGTCCTCCGAAGCGCGTCCCCGGTACGCGGGAGACAGCTGTGGCCGGCGGCGACTCCGCTCCAAGCTGCGGTCGGGACAGCGGGACGCACAGGAGCCCCGCGGAGCACAGGAGGCGAGGGAGGAAGGGCGTGACGAAGGGGGGAGGGGAAGCCGCAGGGGCGCAGCGACGGAGGAGGGAGGAGGGGCGCGGCGACGGGGGTAGGAGGCGGGAGCCCAGATCCCCGACGTCGTGATTCTTTCACAACGTGGGTCCCCAGAGATCTATACCCCTTCCCCAGGACCGGCTTTTCACCCTGAGTCTTCCGCGGCTTTTCATTATTGGTTTCTTGCCCCGTTTGACCGGAGCTCATTGTCGTCACCCTGGACTCATGGAACAATACGAAAGATATTGATTAGCATGTCGCCGCGCCGTTTGTTCCGCCCCCCCACCTTCGGGGAGGGTGCCGCGGCCACCAGGGCAATTGCCGCCCCTGGCGCTGTGGGTTTGCCGTGGGGGTTGCCGTGGCGCCAGCCTCGTCTCCTTGGGCGCGGGAAGCAGGGCTTGTCGTGGGTGTGCTGTGTGATGTCGGCGTCGTCCACTCGGGCGCGTCGAGAATAGACGGCGTGGCGACATGTCGGCATGGCTCCTCCGCAGGGATGACAGGCGCCGTGCGAGAAACGCATCCAGCTTGTAGCAACGAGGCTCGCTCCTCCCCCCCCCAGGCGGGCCGACGGCGCCCTGCAGTCGCTGGAGCTCGCCTCCAGGCAGGAGGCCTGCTGCCCGCAAACAGGGCCCTCTAAACCAGGACACTGCCGACCAGGACTTCTGAGAATCCCACCATCGCTCCAGACCGTTCATCCATTGGCGTGGCTGCTTGTGCTCCGTCGCGGCGCGGCAGAGGCACAAGCCGCGCGGGCGCTCGAGTTGCCCGGGGCGCTCGGCAGATTGAATGCCTGGCAGCACGGGGTTTGGAATGATGGGGGCATGCCCGACCTGACACCAGGGCCCTGGTTTGCTCAAGTCCCCGTTGAGGGGGCCTCGACGCCCCCGCTGTCGCGCCCTGCCTCCCCAAACGTCGGGCGGGCCGGATCCCTCACGTCCCGGCGCTTCGACTTTCTGGTGGGCCTCGCTCTGATTTCGGATCCGCCGTAGTTCTGTGGGCGAGTTCGTAGGTGGGGCGTTTCCGCCCTACTGTTCCAGGGGTCCATAATCTCATGTATAGGTTTAGCTTTTGGTGTTTCACTCTGGGGACTGATGGATAGAGATCCATCTTGTGCGTGTCCGTGCCACATGTGGCTCAAGGCAAAACATTATGTCCCCTCTCCTGCTGCCACAGTTGGTAGCGGAGCGGGGTCCGGCCCGGAGGCCATGGGCGCGAGAGGCTGGCTGTGACGGCCAGGCCGCTCTGCGCTCGCGCGCCCCGGAGCCAGGCTTCGCTCTGACCACTGAGCAGCGTGGGATCCACGGCAGAGAGATGCCCGCGGATGGTGAGCAGCAGCCGCCGCAAGTCGCCCCAGGAGGCGACGGACGAGAGGAGACCTTCGCTGTCATGACGGCCCGAGGAGCTGAGGGGTCGACGGCAGGGGCAGCAGCATCAGGCTCTACGGTCGTGGCGGCGACGATTGATCAGGAGACGCTCACTCGGGCAATACAGTCCGCAGTCCAAGAGACAGTGCGGGCGCTCGGCCATTTTGGCCAACAGCAGCAGCGGCCACCGCAGGAGACGGCCTCGACGGTGGCCGACCCGTGGGACGGCACGGGAGCCGACCCGTGGAGCAGCAGCAGAACTAGACAGGCAGCCGAGGTGGGCAACGGAGAAGCAGCAGGAGATTCAGGACAGCGGCGCTCACCCGGCGACAAGGACGACGTGAAGGAGGACCAGAAGTGGGACGAGCACCAGGACTGGGGCTCGAGCTGGAATAGCAACTGGTGGCCAAGCCAGTGGACCGGAGGCCGAGGTGACTTTTCTGACCCTCCGGCGTGGCCTGGCTGGGCCCACTATCGACAATGGCGCCGAGCTATTCGGCGCTGGAACGACAACACCGACGTGGCGGTCTGGAGGAGGTCGGAAAAGTTCATGCGGCTCTTCGACTGGACGATGCAGGCCAAGTTCGAGGACATCCCGGACAAGGAGCTCACCGCATCTTCGTGGTTACAGACGCTCCTCAGTCGCATGGACCTGATGATCGGGGAGCGCGAGGGAGACGAGCTACGACGAGCAGGACGAAAAGCATTATACGAGGCCGTCCGTGACTCCAAGGAGACGCTCACGCAGTACGTGAGTCGTCGCGAAGCAGAGTTCATCGACGCGGAGGGCCATGACTTATGGATGTCCGACAAGCTCAAGGGTCTCTTCCTAGAGGAGGGGGCCAACCTCACCCAGCAGGGCGCGCAGAACTTGCGCACGCTCACTCGCGGAGACCTGACCTACAGCAGCGTGAAGTGGGCTCTGCGCCAGCTTGACTCATCGGCCGGCACCGAGCGCCTGCTTCCCGGCAAAGCTGGGGCAGGCAGCATGCTAGCAGCAGCGTCTGAAGACCTAGGGCCGAGCGCTCGCTCGGATGTTGGTGCTTTTCAGTCTTCCTCTTCCCCTCCTAACCTCGGTCGGTGTGAAGGTAGGTCGGAGGACGCCAACTACCAGGTGGTCGAGGACGAAGAGGATGACTACGACGAGGGAGCCGACGAGTCGGACGAGCTCGAGGAAGAGGACGCGGCGGCCCTCCTCGCGGAGATCGATGACATGGACATCGAGGAGGACGACGCCGAGCTGGTGCTGGCCGAGCTGACGAACAACAGGTCCTGGAAGCAGAACAAGGACCTCAAGCGAGCAGCTCGGCGCGATCGAGAGTATTTCGGCTCCCGAGGTCGAGGCAGTGGCAGGACCCCTCCTCCTTCTCGGCCAGCCGGACGAGGAGGGGGTCGCCAGCGACGAGAAACGTGACGAGCGTGGAGGCGGAGCCGGAGGAGCAGGACACCGGCCTCCTCCGGGCAGGCGACGCTTCCTCACCCGGGAGCAGCTGATGAAGGTCACCAAGTGCAAGCTGTGCCACGAGAAGGGCCATTGGGGGCGTGAGTGCCCCAACGTCAGCAGCGCCAAGAAGGACGCGGTCAAGCAGGAGGTCTCCATCAAGAAGACTCCCATCAGGAAGGCCTCGTCCTACATGTTCGACGGAGTGGCGTTCAGCAGCAACGACATGTGGGCCGCGCCGGCGTGGCGCGGGATTGAAGAGGAGATCACATCAGGGTCGATCTTCCTGGCGGCCTCGTCGACCCAGGGCCTGGTCGACCCCGGGGCAGGGACTGACCTGGTGGACGTGGAGGCTCCCAACAGGGAGTCCGAGGCGCTCGTGACCCACGGCCTCAGGTACGTCGAGATTCCTGCCGAACATCGGACGCACCTTCGTGGGGCCCATGGAGTCGGAGGTCAGGCCAAGGTTGTGAGTGCTATATCTTTTTCGTTGTGTTTAGGCGGCGTCTTTGGCATCATAGACACCACTGTGCTCGGAGAGGCTGTTCCTCACGTTTCGAGCGTTAATCTTCTGGACTTTCCAGAGAGCGTGATTGATTTACCGAGGAACAAGCTTCGCTCCGGCACCCTGCGCACGACTGTGGCCATGACACGCCTGGGTTCCGGGCACAGGATGGTAGAGATCGTGCGTTCCCTGGAGGAGCCGCCGACAGTCCCAGCGTCGGCGCTCCAGCGCTATCCTTTTCTGACGGAGGGGTCATTCACCCTTGGCAATGAGAAGCCTCCGAAGATGCTGGCAGATGGAACTGTGACGCAGTACATCCCTCACCTCATCATCTCCATCCTTCGGTTTAGAGCTAAGTCGAGACGTACGGGGCCCGGGTCAAGTCGTGCGGGTTCTAGGCCGAGGGGGTCTTCGAGCAGAACGTCAAGCAGGGATCCGAGGGAATCGCCGTACGTGGGCTACTCGGTCGTCTCAATCGTCGCAGTCGTGGTCTGCCTATTCATCGTGTGTTGGGCTCAGCAGGCCCGCCTCGAACAGGTCACGGGCTCAGGATCTTTGGGGCACACTAAGGTCTCGGACAACAGCAACGAAGGACGGGGCAGGGCTCTCGACCCCATCGGCAAAGGAGCTCTCGATCTCATCGGCAGCAGGGGCCCAAGGGCTCTCGTGTATATACTGTCCGTGGCCTCTTTTGGCTCGAGTCTTTGCTCGCGTCTTTCTCGGCATCAACGGTTGAGCCGACGATCACAGTGTCCTGCCGGCATCGTCCGGCGCAGCGATGATGCTCATAACGATTTCCATGTACATCCTGAGGGGGATCCTCTCAGTGCGGGGAGCTCCTCAGTTCCGCGGGCCCACCACTCAGCCGCCCGGCGGCGGCAACAGCAGAGGCGACGGCAGCGACAGTCGAGGAGACGCTGCCAGGGCAGCGCTGAGCCAGGCGATCGAGATGCCGGTGGAGGCGCCAGCAGAGGTCACCACGACTCCGAGCGGACCGCCTTCCCATCCGGGGGTGCCCAGCCAGTTGCCCGCCCAGCTGATGACTTGGGCCCAGGCGATGGCGGCCGCCGGACCCGATGGAGTGCCCGACCGAGGGGTGGCCGGCTACCTGACGGACGGGACGCCCATCCTGACGACGGAGTACCAGCAGTATCTGCTTCAGGCGCCCCCTCCGCCGCCGGGTCCTCCGCCTGGGCCGAATCCAGCAGCAGCCTCCAGCGCTCAGCCAGCAGCATCACCGACGCCGTGGATGGCCGGAGTCCAGGGGCAGTTTCCAGGCCCGCCGAAGGCGAGATCGGCACGGCTGCTGGGCCACGGAGGGACGCCGAGTACTGGGGCCTCGGGAGCAACGCCGGGGATTCACCACGGTCGCGACGAGGATCAGGCATCGATGCAGCTGGTCACGAACCAGAGCGACGACGGAGAACCGACAGCTGCAGCAGCAGCAGCTCCGACTTCGGCAGCAGCAGCAGCAACCATCCCGGCCTGGCGGGCAGCAGCACCGCTGAAGCCGAGATTGATCCCAGTCAAGCCGCCCCCGCCCAAGCTGGTGAACAACTGCAACCACTCGCAGGCCACATCGTACGGCAACCAGTACGGCTCGGGCACGAAATGCAAGTTCTGCGGCTACAAGCTCACCTGGGCGCCACGCGGCAGCGGTGGCGAGCAGGACGGCGGGCCGGCAGCGAGGCCGGAGTCCGCGGCAGAGGCGGCCAGACGGGCGGCGGCTGCTGCCGAGCGGACTGTGCAGATCATGCAGGAGAATCCCGTGTTTCAGACAGGGGCGGCAGCGCTGCAGACGGCCAACGACCTGAACGGCTACCTCAACGCTCTACAGTGGCAGCTGCACCAGATCCCCGAGGGGATTCGATCCCTCGGAAAGGTGCAGGAGGTGGTCGAGCAGATCGCACAGTACGCCAGTCAAGCCCAGTTCCAGACCAGCAGTCAGCTGGAGGAGGGCCTGCAGCAGATCCATCAGGCGCTCATCCGACTCCGTCGTACTTTGGAAGCACTGGAGCCGATGGGAGAATCCCTCGACTACCTGACAGAGCAGATGAGCACCCTGTCGCTGTCGGTCGGCAACATCGAGCAGTCAATGGGTCAGATGGCGCAGATGATAGTGGAGATTGGGACGGCGGTGATGGGGCTCGTGCAGGTGGCCAACGCTGTCGGAGCGAACCAGGAGCTTCCGTTGCAGGAGCCGGACAGCTCTCAGGCGGGTGCTTCCTCGCCGGAGCCCGAGGGCGCACCGCAGGTCTCGACCACGGCAGTGACACCGCCTTGGGAGATCCTCTACGA